TTAGTTCCTATAGTCACACAAAAATAGCAGTATAAATCTGTGGTCGGTGTACTTTATTGGCTCTCTAAACCTCAACCATAACCACAAAAGTTAGGTTAGGTTTGATATACAGATCGTGCTTAAAGACAGCTATCCTTGGCACTGTCGTGGATTTTGGACTCTGATAACCCATCAGTTCCTGTGGAGCCACTGAGGAGGAAGCTGTAATGAGATGTGCGGTATGATGAGGTGGTTTTATTGGGAAACCCAGCTTTATAATTACTGTTATTTCAAGTCAAGCCTCCCTGTAAAACACTTACACACACGTATGCTCTCTCTCGCTCTTTGACTTTTAACCAATCCAGCTTGACTGTGATTACAGCACAGCAGCCCTGTGACTCTTGTTCTGTTAGAAAAGTATTTTACCATCGCAGCACGCTACAAGCAAGGCTGGAGAGGAAATGTCACATCATACTCCCTCAACTAAAAACCAATGCGTTGAATATGAATTCATAGGGCGGGGCCTACCAGTATGATTTGTGACATCGCAAATTGTTTTGTAGTCAATCCTGGTCCAGTATGAAACTTATACAAGTGTGATGTAGAAACTTGCTAGTGCACAAACACTGAGAATGGACTTTGAAGTCAGAGACAACTTGTATCCAGCAGGAGAACATAATATGCATATTCATAGATTCAGGATTCTTACCTTTTAAGAATTTATATATGTATATATAAGTTATTCATTATTATTATTATTTTTATTTATATATGAGCTATTTAAAAAAAGCTAACTCAGTCACTAATGAAGGCCATGAGATGTGTCTGAAAGCCCTGGTGGAAATCTAGTAAGCAGTTAAAATGTTAAATGATTTGTTCATGTGTGGAATCATACAACATTAAATTTGACAGCCATGTTAGTCTGTGTTATTAATCATTCATTAACTGTTTATAGACCGGTTATGAACACCTACATTATGGTGTGTTATAAACCAGTATTACTTACTGCTTATAATGAGGGGGCTTAAAATAATGTCTTACCACAAAATCTCTAAAAAGAGACTGAAGAGATCATTTAGAAGACAAGCTTACAAAAGACATATATCAAAATAAGTATCCTTTGGCTTTATTTGCATTATGGTTGTGCAAATTAGATTTATTATTGGTTTTGATGTACTTTTATGGCGATATTGTAACTATTTTATTCACTGTGTAAAAATTTGTTATTGCAAATACACTGCAGGCTATGTCTGAATATGGACCCCAGGAAGGTTACCAAGGTAACCACTCCAAATAAAAAATAAGCTGCTATAAATAATATATAATGTAATTATACATTGAGGTATATGATTTTTATTCTCTCTTACCAATAATACTGTAGTCAGTGCTTTTGAAAGAAATGCCCAACCCAACAACTGCTGTAAAGCTGAAAGAGAACCGTGTGGCATTAGAGTGTTAGCAGATATCTTGATCATCTGGCAGTGAGCATATGCGACAAAGTAGAGGGGAATATACCACATAACCACACTAGAGCCCATCAACATATACAGTACAAGCCTCTAATAACATGTGATCCAATATGCTCTATTACAGACTGAGTCTCCACCCAGCGCTGATCCTGACAGCAGTGACTGAGGATCCCTTTGATAAATCAGTCAGTGCCTCAGTATACTGACAGGACCATCCCATTGGAGTACAACTAGTAGTACCAGAAGCATAATTTTGAATGGACTGCCCACACATCTCCAGACCTTGGCATGAGCCAACCACATGCAAACCTGCCAGAAGCGTAAAAGAAAAGAAGGAGATGGCAGGGCCATAACTAACATTGAGGATCCTGAGGTCATGTCCTCAGGTCAGATTATGTTGACCTAAAGATGAGTTTTAGTTCTGCAATTACACACATGCATTACAATTTTTCGTTTTGTTTACTTCTATTGTTTTTGAAGTCTGATTCTGCCATGCTAGCATTGTGCCTGTGGGGATTCAAACAGAAACAGAAATATCAACAACTACTGATGGATTGCCATGAAATTCTGTATAGAAATATATCCTAATGACTTCATCAACTTTCCCTCTATTGGCATCATCAGGTCAAAACCTGTTTTTATTTTTCTTTGGTTTTTGACCAAATACCTGAATTACATTCCCAACCAGGCTCAGGCTAATATTATCATGATAACATGCTAAAGTAAGATGGTGAACATGGTAAACATTATACCTGCTAAGCATCAGCATGTTAGCATTTAGCTCAAGGCAACATTGTGCCTATGTGCAGCCTCACAGAACTGCTTTAGTGTCCATTAGGCGGAATAGCCAAAGGATATCACAAGGAAAACCAGAAATTATTTTCTCCTTAAAAATGATCAAATTTTGCCAAAATCAGTAACATAGTTGGTGGTGTGTGCCTTACTGGTGTAAAATGTTATGAACTTCTTGTGACCCAGCAACCAAAAGTTACATAGGCGTACAGGGCACGGAGTGTGAATGAAAGAGGCACCATTCTCCTTATTTAAAGTCAGTGTACCATCAAAATGATTTTGAAGCTGTTATTTTAAGGTAGAACAGTTACATAATTTTGCTTTAAATACTATGCGACGTCTTCGTGTTCAACCCCAGACCTGTTAAATAGAGAATTGTACTGAAATAATTTATGTTTAATGCACTTAATTTCATCCAGATGGAGTAGTTTAAAAAAAAAAAAAAATCTTTCTGTAAGAACAGCCAAAAGCTATAGAATGTATAATTAAAACACAAGAAGTCAAGGGAAACTGCACTGTATGAGATGCAAAAAAAAAAAAAAAAAATACTGGCTTGGCAAAGTTACCAAAACCTCCAAGGAAAGATTATGGAGTTTACAAAAAGGGAAAGGAGAAGAAACCACAGATGTCGTCAAAAAGAGGGTTTATCCTTGAGGTTACTGCTTCTGCGTAAATGAACGTGGGCTGTAAGGCCACATGAACACTGAGCCACTGATCTGAACAGAAAACTCACGAGAATCTAGAAGGATTGCACACTGACGTATAAAAACGCACACTGTATGTTCTCATGAATGACACATGTGCACAAACATAGAAAATTAAAATGAAAGACAATTATATCTTTCATCAGTTGAGACATTACCTCCCACTAACCCTCCCCTCAAATCAGTGGCAGTTCAAATAAGACAGTGTTTCTCTGGTTTGATGAGCCCCTCTGTGCAGAGATGTGTCTCTCTAAGGGGAGGCATTCATTAGAGCACTGCACCACCCACATGCAGTTTACCGACCCCTCGACCTCACATTAACCATCTCTGCAGGCTGTGTTGTGAGTGTATGTGTACGTATGTGTGTACTTGCATGTGCTGGCGTGTACATGTGGTTTGCTGGGTCTGATGGCTTTCCCGCTCTGCAGACCCTGTTTCCACTTTCTCTTGGAAAATCCTTCCAGACCTCGACAGAATTTTTGAGCCAGTAGGTTATGTTGATGACTGTGTGCAAAGAATAACTGCACTCACAAATGCTTTTGGCAACTTGTTCTATTCCACAGTAGCAAGAAAACAAACGCAAATGTTTAAGATTCTGGCCTTAAAAAAAGCATGTTTGTTTTGGTTAGTGTGGACATAAGACCAAGAGTTCGACCCTGCTCTGGACCTTATATTAAAGGAACTGTTCCAAATTTTTGGAAATATGCTTATTTGCTTTCTTGCTGTGGGTTAGACAAGCAGATACCACTGTCATTTCTTACTGCAAAACATGAAGCTGGAGCCACAGGATGGTTTTCTTGCCTTGGCATAAAAACTAGGAGCAAGGGGAAAGAGCTAGCCTGCCTTAATCAGAAGGTTAAAAAAAAACCCAGCACCTCTAAAGCTAACTAATTGTCATGTTATATCTTGTTTGTCTGATGTGTAAAAATGACAAGTTGGGTATTTTACGGGGGGTTAGATGCTGGACTATTCCTTGGAGTTTCTGATGGTTGCCTTGGACAGAGCCAAGCTAGCTGTTTCTCCACACTCCCAGATATGGACAGATACATGAGTGGTATTGAACTTCTTGACAAACTCTCTGCAAGAAAGCAAATAAGTTTTCCCTTTTGTGTTGAAATGCTTCCTCAATGGTTTCTATTCACTATTAGAAGTCCAACACCAGCATAAAAGCCTGAAAAATAAATATAAAAGTATAATTTTAACCTTACCCACAATTAACCTTTTGCTACCTGGGTGCTTCACAGGCAATCGTGGCACAAGTAGAATGGTAGCGACCATAAAATGACAAAGGTCTAAAACTTAAGCATCATTGGACCAGTTGTTTAGGAATAGACAGACAGAGAGACCAGGTAAAGAGGTGAGGGCTTAGGGATCATGTGGTGCTGGGGCCATGGATGGAAGGGTGTTGACGCTTATTAATCCAGATTAATCCTGGAGAGTGATCCGGGATCACACTGATGGTATGCCAGTCAAATTGTTGCTATGACTGGTCACAAGCCAGAATGATTATAGACATGCTGAGATGTTATTCTTTGAATACCTTAGCCTGATGTGGTGAGACAGGCAGCCAGGGAAAGCTTTGCAGACACAATGGAACCTGGCCAAGGTGGAGTAGAGAGTTGCAGTGTGAACCACTGGCAGTAAAACAGAAGAGAAAAGGTTTGTAGAACACCCAAACATTTTGTTTGGATAGCTAGCGGTGCTGGGATTGAGGCCAAACCTTCCTTTTGTGGAATTTAGGGAGAGAAGCAGTAGTTTGAGCAGCATTTAAAAGACATAAAATCTAAAATGGAAGTGAGAGAGACTCATTTCCTGCAGTACCAATGCTCACACCTTTCACTCACGCTAAAACAGAATGATATGCAAAACTTTCTACAAGAAAAAGGGTGGAATGCATTTATTTTAATCCTTCAAATACTGAAAATACTGATAATTCTGGTAACTATTCACTGTTTATTGATCATTGACTCAATCCTGTAAATGTCATCACAAGGCCATAATTCATTTATAGGAGGATATATGGATCCCATTTGCTCATTGGACACCCTCAAAATAATACCTAATGACATGTTCATAAATACAAACTATCCCAGTTGCACAGGCAGTGTGTTGCTTTACCCCATGTTGGACACTAGATGTCCTCCTTGGTATTATGTATTTGGTGAACGGTCCTGCAGTTGAGTTCAAGTAATACAATTTCTTGGAAGTCTATCAGGTTGGTTAGTCCTGAACTGCCATAATTTATTAAACTGCTACTAAAATAATGAATATGATGGAGGAGAGCCTTAACTGCATTAATGTTATTAGCTCCACCTGTGCTTTTTTCTGATATGACTAGTCTAAGACTGGTAAACTCACAGAAAAGGCCTTTTTCACAGCATTTGAAACACATTTTGACTTGTTAATTGTATTACACCTTGTGCTTTTCCTACTATAACAAGGGCTCTGTTCCATTTGAGTGTGCTGCATTTTTATCTCTCTGTTCCTCCCCTAAACATTGGGCTACCTGCTGACCAATATAGAAACAACTAGTTTATACATTAGATAATAACAATGTTAGAAATGAACAACAGCTAGATTTTATTCATATAGACAATCTGATGCAAAATTCACTCAAGGGAAAAATAATGAATCCTTCCTCTACTGGAGCCCGATTAGAAGTCAACTGCACCTTTATTTACATACATCTGGCAATGTGGATATATTGCAGTGTTCCAGGCTGAATGTTCCTATAATAGTGATCTAGCTGACAGGCAAAAGCAAACACTAGCACACACGTGCACAAGAACAAACTTATTTACACACTTTTCTTTCAACCCCACCTCTCAACGGTCTCAGTCTCTCTTTTCATCAATTACCCATGTGATTCAGCTTGACCCTGGGAGTTGAAGAAGGGCAGTTTATCCAGGTACGTGAGGGCCTTGCAGGTCACCAGGCCAGAATAGGTCTTTAACAGTGAGCATCTTCCACCTTTCTGCCCCTGGTCTGCCCACACTCTGTCTAGTTCATTGGTACTCATTCTTGCCGAGCTGAACAGATAGCGGTAACAGCAGACGTTGTAGTGGATATGTTGCTCTCCTGCAAACCTGGCACTGTGGGTTGGTGCCACACCAGCCTTCTGAGCACAAAGGCCCACAAAAACGTCAGCTGGCACTGGTGCACGGACTGCTGTAGACGCTACATACACTTTTCGGATGACATCCTGGGATAGAACATAAGTTGTGCCGTCGCAGTATTCAGGCAGGTACTTGTCAGGGTAGAGAGCTGGGGGCAGGTAGCCAGGACTGTTGGGGTCCCTGTCAGGAGAGTCTCTCTGGATCACCCTGCCCAGATAAAGGTCCTCCGGATGCCTGTGCAGCCCGAGTAGGTAACCTCCGATGGCAGGTAGATTGACAAACACAGAGTCCTTGGTCAGCAGAACAAAGCGTGCCACGGGACAGAAGGTGATCACCCAGCGGAGTGCCAGCACTGTCCTTTCTGTTGGGCCTCGGAGCGATGAGTCAGTAACAGCATGACCCTGGACCATGTCCCTATGGCGGTCAGACTCTGCCATGAGGTCCTTTTGAGCAGCGGAAGTCTGAGTTGATCCTAAGAAAAACAGTATCCGCACTGGGAAGCCTTGAACGAGCGTTTGGTTGGCCCATGTCCTCCTGACTGCATCTCTTTGGTTGATATTAGTTGTGGAACTGAAGACTAGAGTGAGGAGGAAGAGGTCAGAGTTTTTGCAGGCATCGGGGTTAGCGATGGGGTAGGCCAGGGACACATTCTCCCTGGCATTGCTGAGGTCTAGTTTCCTTGCTTTCTCTCTGACATCAACAACCATGCCATCAGTGTAGACCCCAGGCGTGGGCTGCAGGAGGTACTCCTCGACAAAATCTGCCCCAAACAACAGGGCATGGAAGAGTAGCACATTGAAGAGGAGAAAACACCACTGATGGGTACGCAGTTTGCACAGGGAACACTGGAGCACGAAACAAGAAATAGACAGAGTATGAATTACGGTAAAGATAGCCAGTCAAACTTGAATCAAAATGTATAAACTACAAAGAATTAACACTGTACCTGCATGACAACTGCCTTGACAGCCTTGTGGTTTCTCTGTGTTTATTAGCTATACGTGACCAAAGGACCTCCCGCTGTAGTCAGTTCCACAACAATACTTGCTGACAGACAGGGTTTCCACTTTCATGAAACTCTAGCAGCTTGTAACCCTGCACCCCAAACCCGTGTCACATGCTTCATCAAGAGGAGTGTATACTGCATCATGCATACAACATTAATGATACAAGGATGGAATAGTTTGATCAAGGACATTTAAGATCCCCCCGACATTAAAGACATGTAAAAATAATGCTTTAAATAGTAATTTGTCTGATATGGTATTTCCACAAAAAAGTTCAGTTATCTTAAATTCTTAAAATCTCATCTTATCCTCAAGAATCTACGAAAATGTAAATATTATCAGTTCAAACTTTTAACTACTAGACACAAGATGTCTCCTGTTTCACTGTGGAAGTAGTGACACTCACGTTAAATTACAATGAAAACGTACATTTATTTAAAGGCTTCACTATTCACTAGAATGACTATAATAGAGGCCACACCTCACCCCACATTTCTTCAGCTATAGTTTTGATTTTCCCATGCCACATTCCATGACCACTTGCTGTTTTCACTGTCTAAGAAAAATATACTTTCATGTGAGAGTCTGGCATACAGTATGTGACCTTTGCAACCTGTAAATAATGCAGTAATGGACCTCCTAATTCAGTATAACACATTTTTCTATTTATCTATTTCACTACACATTTTTGTATTTGAAAAATGTTATGATAAATAGGGGCACCCTGCTGGCTTACCTGGTGGAGCTGGTCCAGCAGCCACTTTAAATTGTATTTAAATCTCTAAAGGGCCCATTAAAAGTGAATATTACCTACCTACAGAATAATCACACAGCTAAATAAAAGCAAAGCACCGGATTGGCCCAAAGGAACTCTACCTCAACGCTTTACCTTTCTTTTATTACCTTCCCTCACTTATTCAGCATCTTTAAAGAAAGTGTCATTTTTGTCAAACTTGCCACTGGTATAATTTTAGGAGAAATTAAGTATGCGTTATCTCTTAGACTTTTAAATATTCCAGGTACCCCAGCACAAGTCCCAGTGGTTGTAATGGTGTAATTGGATCAGCTTCACAAGCCGTGTGATCACTTAAACAAAAGAAGATGAAAGTGGATTAAGATTGAACCGTACTATGGCTGGCATGTACACTGAATAAACAAGTGAAGGCTCTGATAAAGGGCAGCAACTGTTTTGTGTTGGCCTCAAGTGTCATTGTTGTGACTTATTATTAATTAATGTCAATATTCTTTTTTATTCATCTCCATTAACAGGTAATTTTACGGGTAGCAAAACAAATTAACAAACTAAACAAATTAACAAACTGAAACAAATTACAACGAAAAAATTTACAAAGAACAAATTAACAAAGAAACAAATTTACAAACGAAACAAATTAACAAAGAACAATTAAAGAAAAATCAAAAACAAATAAAAGAAACAAAAACAAACAAATACAAACTCGAAACAAATTTACAAAGTCAAAAGACGGAAGGGAATGACAACGCCGGATCGACCCGGAAGTGTAGGAGCGGTTTGTGGGAAAGAGTGGCGGTTTATATGGAGTTTCAAGAGTTGCAGCATGTCGGTCCTTCCGTCTGCTCCGCAGCCTTTAAAAACTCAGAACCGCCACACGAATCACAAAACCTAATACCGCCCCAAATGTTTCCACAAAACGCAAAACATCTGAAACCCATAAAACCTCACAACTCTCCACAACAAACCGCCACAATCACCGGGTCAGATCCGGCATAACATTCCCTTCCGTACGATTTACTTAAACTTTCAGAGTTAAATTGTTCGAGTTGTAAATTGTTCGGAGTTTGTAAATTTGTTCAGAGTAAATTTTGAGTTGTAAATTTGTTTCAGAGTTAAATTTTCAGAGTTGTAATTGTTTCAGAGTTAAATTGTTCAGAGTTTGTTAATTGTTTCAGAGTGAAATTGTTCAGAGTTAATTGTTTCAGAGTTGTAAATTTGTTTCAGAGTTTGTTAATTTGTTTGCACACCACCACCGATAATTACCTCTGACTTGTCTCAATGAATACATGACACGTGTCTAAATGAACTGTCAAGTTAAGTTATACAGAATATTATTTAGCTGTTTATTTGAATCCTCCATTCTAAACATTGCAGAGGCTCAGGGTATCTTTAGCTTTAGATGGTTCAGAAGCAGATGCTGATTATTGTGTCCTATTGTAGTTCTGGTTATATACATAAAATTACATACATAAAATATATGTGTGTGTGTGTGTGTGTGTGTGTGTGTGTGTGTGTGTGTGTGTGTGTGTGTGTGTGTGCGTGAAAATATATGTATAACTGACTAATATAATATCAAAAAGATTATTTTGCACATATATTTACAATCAATATCATCCAGCCGATGGACAAAACACCACACAGTATAGTATAATCCAATAAAAAACAGAATCTTTTTGACATTATTTGTGAAATTTCAATAAGATGAAAGTTTTATAAGGTATATATATATATATTTAATGCAAGACTATTAGATTGTATTACATTGTTATAGTGGGTGCTCTAAGTGTCTGCACTTATCATCTTGTTGTGCAGACATGCATTTTTGAAATGTATCTCTATATTTGTTGTTTCCCACAAGTGAATTTCTGTTAATGTAGCTTCTCCATTTTGCTACATTAAATCCTGCTTCATTTTCAGTAAGACCATATTAAATTAAACATTGATGAAAAGTAAATCACTGTAAAACTCCCCTTGTCTTTTGTGTGTTGAAATACATTTCAAGAATGTCCTCTGTGTTGTCTGCTGGTGGAACATCTGCATCTTTCATCTTCCACAGTCCCTTCTCTGTGTATAAAGGCTCTTTGTGATCCCGGCCAGGACCAGCTGTCGGTGGTGTGACTCCCAGCAGCACTACAACAAGGAAGTGGTGGGAGACGTCTGATACTCAAGGACTTTCTCATTCATCCGTGGTTATAGAAGGTTCAAAACTGCACTATCCCACAGTGACCAAAGCTGTGCGTGCATGTGTGCGTGTGTGTGGCTGACAGTATTATCTATTATTATTAGTGTCATCAAATCCCATGAAAAAAGCTAAACGAACAATTTCTTAAACCCGTCTCACAAAATTTCCTGACACAATACTTTTCCACCAAACATAAAAAACTTAACTCACTGATTTATGCATTCCTTTTTTTAAATATGCAAAACAATTTAAAACAGCTGGGCACTGTAGATTTAAACTTTACTACTTACATGTTTATAATAGTTTCTTGACATCAATAGGTACATAAGGAATAAAGTATATCAGCTACAGAGCAACACGGACATTACTTATTGGCAGAGTTATTCTCTTTGCTCTTTATTGCATGTTGTAACAATAATTAATTCACCAATGCCGGGTTATGGGTTGTCATTTCTGAAAGTGTTCCAGCATGGAGAGGTTGAGACCTGATAGTTTAAGACATGAGACTGAGACAGTGACATTGAGACCTGTAGAGCATCTTATGCAAGATCGCATCACATATTTGTGTTATAAAGAAATAAGAAATGTTGTGCAATACTGTTTCTTACAAATAAGAAATAAAAGGTGTATTATCCTTTTAAGATCTGGAAGAAGTCATTCACATTTATGTTTACTCCTGTCTTAATTATTGTAGATCTCTGTTCACCACCTTGAATAAGTCTTCTGTGTCTTGGCTCCGTTTTATCCAAAATGAGGCTGCTAGACTTCTACATGTCGTAGGTCACACAAATATTTGCCAACCTGCATTGGCTACCCTTTGAATGTAGAATTGATTTTAAAATTCTTCTAATCACTTGTAAAGCACTACATGGGCTGGCACCATATTTCTGAATTATTGTGTCCCTACTGACCAAGGCCTTCTGGCAGTCCCAAAATCTAGGCTTTACACAAAAGCCCTCTGGAACTGCTTTCCTCTAATCATGATAAACGCAGTCAAAATCAGTCAGTTCATAGTTTTAAGAAGGTTAAAAGAAACTCACCTGTTTCTTAAGAAGGTTTTTCATATTGTTGTTTCCTGTTTTAACCACTGACAGTTTTAACTTTCTAATGTTTGCATTGTACAGTGCCTTATAACTCTGCTTTTATAATGTACTTAAATAAAGATTACTTCCTTCCTTCCTTACTTACTTATAAGGCCCTAATAGGTTGATACACAGAGTGCTTTAGGGTTACAAATGATTTGACAGTGGTGGAAGATATATTCGGAGCCTTTACTTGTGTAAAAGTTACAATGCCACACTGTGATTTTATTCCATTTCAAGTAAAGTTAAAGTATGCCCTGCATTCAAAATCCTATTGAAGTATAGTAAAAGTACAAAAGTATCATCGTCAAAATGTACTTAGAGCATCAAAGGTGAAAATGCTCACACACAAAACAAACTGAATGATATATTATGTAATAAATGACTGTTAATACTGATGTTTAAGTATAACATTTCTCTCTGAAATTTAAGTTAAGTAAAGTGCGATTATCTGAAAATTGTATAAGTACAGTACTTCGTAGTTACTTTTCTCTACTGTGAGCTGGGATGAAAATATCAGGAATATACTTTCTCTTCAGTTCCTTCTGCAAAGTATATGTTTTCTAACAGATATATAGTACCCTGACAGATTAATGCATGCACTAATAAAGGTAGTACAGGTCTGCATCTCAGATATAAGATCTGCAGTAATGAACATGATCTTCACTTTAGTTTAAGGATCGCAAGTCTTGTATCAGCTTATACCAAGCATTCCTATGGCACTGAGTAATTATGGTTTGATATCCACTGCAGGAGATAAACTGTGTATTTTGGGCTACATGGGAAAGTTTTGCTGTGACCCAGTTACGCCTCTGTGAGGAGGACTCAGAGTCCACCTGAGGACTTGAAGTTACCATTCCTTGCATGCTTCTTACCCTTGCTGGCTTACACAACTGTTAATGCTGCCAAGCTCACTTGTGCTGGGCTTTCAGATATCAACATCACCTACAGTAGTCACTATTATTTTGTGTTACATTTCTTCCTTCCAGATCCTGTCTTTGAATGACAACCACAGGGCTTTGTTATTACGTTTATCAGCATAGATTTCTGCCTTTCATTTCAGGCCAAAAAATGGGAGTTGTAATAGAAACGGATAACTACACATTTGCAGAAATGAATGGACAGCTTGTGTTTTAGAAATACAGAAAACAAAAAGGAAAAAAAAATATTTAGATCACACTTAAAAATTGGATCACTAGAATTTCTTTTCTCACTTGCATCTCAGGGCTTAGTAAGTTTTGTGGGAAATATGTATGAAATAAAGCCCAAGACATTAAAGCGTTTTCATTTTAAAGGGACAGTTTACTCCAACATCAAAATATTTTTACATTATATTATATTATATTATATTATATTATATTATATTATATTATATTTATACCTGCAGACATCTCTACAGCAGATATCACCAAAGCTTGGCAACTCCCACAAAAACAATCTAGATGGATAAATAACAAAACATGTAAGAGGAAAAATGTGTATTTTTCATTTTGGGGTGAACTGTCCCCTTTAAGGTGCAAATAGGCAATGCAGTGCCATAATCTTGATTCATATTCGATCAGCACTGCCTAGTTTTACCATTTGATCTGAGTACCATGAGGTGAGCTGAGAATGACCTGTCAGTCACAAAATTGCCACACATCAAAGCATACCCTGTTTTATTGTCTATTTTACACAAAATTAAAATTAATTTACAAAATCCACATCATGTTGCATTGAAGAAGACTTGAAACAAGTAATTGAGACCATAACGTCATTAGCAAAGTGTTAAGTGAGCTAATAAATCAAGTGAGAAGTAGGGTCATTTCCCCATTAGACTCCATACTATCTGATTTTTTCTTGTAGCCAATGGAGCTGCCTCCTCTGGCCATTAGATAGAATTCATGTTTAAGACACTTCTGCGTTGGCTTCACTTCACAGACCAGGAAGCTCTGTCCACTGTGTATACTGTCGATGTGCAGCACGGGTGAGCAGGAACAAGCTGATAAAGAATATACACTCATTGAGCACTTTATTAGGTACACTTGTCAGTCTAATGCATTCTAATACACCTGTTCTGCCATAAAGTCTTCCTTTATGATGCTTAAAATGATCAGTTTTGTTAATTCAGTTACATGTTTTAACACTGAGGTCATGTTTGGTGGTGGTGTTGAACTGATCTGTGTTACAGTAAGAGGTGTTTCTAATATTCTGCCCCCATGCATGCATATAATGGGGAGGACAACTTATTAAACTATGACCTAATACATTTATGGTTGAATTTAAACATTTCTGACAAAGCAATAAATACCGAACATTATGAGTTTGTTGTGTTGGATTTCATTAGATTGTATGTATTTAGCTAATTGAGTGGCCACTAAATGTATGATTCTGGTAGTGTGGAATAAAATTATTTATGTTGATTTTAACAGCTACATAAGAGGTGTCAGAAAAAAAAACTGCATGTTAGGAGATAAGGTATTCTGTTTTACATGGGCACATGTTTCATGATTAATTTGTGCCTCTTGGTCCTCTCATTCCTGTCTGTTTGCTTTCAGTCTATTAGCCTTTTTCTTTCTTTACTGGATCATCTTCCTTGTACTTGTTCACAGGGGATAAGACAACAATGTTAAGTATTTCAAGGCCAAGCTGTGATACAAGAAGATAAAAACCCAGGTTCCCAGGAACTGACAAACACTACCTAGGGCAGCATCACTGTCTGGTCACTCCTATCTCTTCGTACAACCAGACGCACAGAACCAAGTCTGACTCAAAAGCAGTTGATCTTTAGATAGACTATCTTCTTCGTGCACCATGTCCTTTACGTTCATTATCACGACGATGATTCTGGGCTCCTCAGTGACAGTTGCATTTGTTTTGCAGCCATCCAAGCAAGAACCTGCTGCCTCTGCAAACTCTCCTCTTTCCCCTCACAGGTCAGTATCAAACGTGTTCTTCTAACACTATGTGCAATTTTCTGGTTTTGTTAGTAGTGACATTGCTTTGTATGCAGGGAACACTGAAAACCATCTTCTCAAGATTGTCCAAAGAATTATAATACAACTTGTTGGGTCACAGAGTTTATTATATTTTAAAATAGCCTCAGTGCTCTAGACTTGCCTATCAGATTGCATGTTGATGCATGCATGCTGAGGCCTTTCCACATGGGGTAAAGGGAGATTCTCTGCATGATTCAGGGACACTTGGTTGTGCAGAGTTGCAGAGAAACACATTATTCTGTTTAAGCTTCAGCAGTGTAGTCAATAACTGAGGATTTAACAATCATGCCAGGCATGCATTTAAAATAAACCTACTAACTAGTATACTTTTATGTCTTGACTGGAGTATTAACACAGTAACTCATGAAATGTCCTCTTTAATTTCAGCACTATTTAAATAAAAAGTGCTATGTGATGTTCAGGTTCCAGGGTGAGTCATTGCAGTCCATCAGGAAGGGTCTCCTCAGGGGTCTCAACTTGCAGGTTGAGCCACAGCTGCCTGCTGGTGGGCTGGATGGTTTCAGAGAGCAATGGAGGAGCACCTTCAGCAACATGGCTCACAGAGCCAAGGACTCTGCAGGTAGGTGGAACCCAAAATTCATAGAAACTGCAGGGGATCAAATACTTTTACAGCCTTGGCCTAATCATTTTATCCATTTACCTAATTACTGTGTCCTTCAAGTTCCAGTGGTCTCTGGCTACTCTGTGTCACCTGATGATAGAAACAGTACAAGCCTGAAGTGCTGTTCCATGGCCTCTGAGATCTTCCTGAAAGGTATGCAGTAATGTGTGTATATGTTCATACATTGAAACATGCACTTATATATTAAGTAATATTGTAATGCATATAATATCCATGGTTATGTTTTCCAGATCTGGGATGGGACAACTGGGTGATCCATCCTGCCAGCCTTACCATCGTTCAGTGTGCACTCTGCAACACTGAAGGGAACACTGCACAATTTCAATCAGCCCACACCAACGTCCAGGATGCCGACTCACAGGTATAATTCTCTAAGACATTTAAATTGTGAAAAAAGTGTTAGCAAACCCCACTCACTAGAGTCTACTAATTTACATTTCTGATTACATACATTTACTTTCCTCTCAGAATGCAAAAATTTCCCATAGGTGTGTGTGTGAGAGTCAGTATTAGCGCTCTGATGGACTGAAAACTGCCTTATGCCTGATGTATGAAGTTATTATGAAAATACCCAGTCCATGTAAAATTCTTGCATTCAGAAACTTAAGTAGAAATGTGGTATCGGCAAAATATACTTAAAGTATCAAAAGTACTCGCTATGCTGTGTGCATCATTATGGTGTGTTGTGGAGGTGAAAATGCTGCCAGCATAAACCTGCTTTCTCCCTCTACCAACATAAGGTTGGAATGTTTATATATATATATATATATATATATATATATATATACACACACACACACACACACACACACACACACACACACACACACACACACACACACATTTTCTGTCCATTGTAGCATGCAATTAATGTTTGCTTTTTCTTTTCTGCAGTCAGTGAAAATGTCTATTGATTAAACAGTGAAAACTTAAATATGGGTGATAGATCTTTTGGGCAGTTTCTGCAGTATGAATATCAAACTGTGTTACCATGTCTGACTCCTCCTCTCTTTGTGATTCTCCAGGCCCAGTTGCCATGTTGTCAGCCCACCTCCCAGAAAATGGTACCTATCGTCTACCTGGATGAATTCAGCACTCTCGTCATTTCCTCTGTGCAGCTAACCCACAGCTGCGGCTGTGAACATGGCAACCTCCAGCAACCCAGCGAAGAGTAATGTTCGTTTTATAGTCCTGAGTGAGTGTCATCTGTGATCTACCTGGCACACACACAAAACAGAAAATACATCATATAAAGGTCTGTCGTCTCTCACAAAGACTTTCATAGACTATTTCTCTTTAGTTCCAGTTGTTGTCTTACATCCTTAACACTGACACAATGTGTATTGAACACTGAGCATGGGAACCAAAGCAAAGTCTGTCTCTTGTTTTTCTATACAAGTGCCAGCACAGATTTGTTGAGCCAGACAAACAATAAAACAGCTCAATTATTACTTTAGTAACTGATGAAATGATTGAGCTTAATCACGTTATTGATCTCAAGTCACCATGTACATATGTGTGCTATTGTGTTTTATTAAGTTACCAACAATTAAGCTTAAAAATAGGCAATAAAAATACATTTCTGTAGGCATTTCTCTCGCACCAAGAGCTAGAAAGTGCAGCTGACACTCGTGTGATACATGCTGCCAGTTTATCTTTCAATAAATCTCCAAGCGCTATTTAAAGTACTAACAGTTACTGAGTGTTCCCTCCAAAAATGTGAGACTTGTCCGGTGCCAAATCCTCTTACAGACTAGTTGTTTCTTTTTTGATGTGTGAATCAACTCTTATGGGTAAAAAGTCAATTTAATTCCTTATATGCAAACTGAGGTCAAATAAAATAGATAATTCTTTAGTTGTAATTGTAAATTAAGTATACGCTCACATGTTTTTGCAGGGAGAGTAATAAGAGAATATTGTGTTCGCCAGCTAAACTCCCTGCAAATTAAACTTAGTATCACTTTCTTCTGGGTATGAACAAATCTTGTTGAACATCTGTGCTGTGCTTTTCCACCAACATCCATTTGCCATGCTTTATGTTCATGTTTCAAGATAAAGAGCACAATGCTTTGTTACTCCGGCCAGTAAAAAAAAAAAGATTTAAAAAAAAAAGATGAAAGCATAGTAGATAAAATATAATCAAAATTGAATAGTTTGAAAATGAGTTTAAATTGTGATTTAACACAAAAAAGGGCCAGTTGATTTACTTTTGTCTGTTTCATTATGTTCTGTTAATGAATCTCAAACATTTTGTTTGATTTGCATAATGCAAGCTTTTTAATGCATTTTTAAACAGCAGAGTTCTTGGTTGTTGGTTTTTTGTTGTCTCTTTGACCATTTCTCATGACTGGTTACAGTTCTCAGTTGGGATTTTCTATTTCTTGAACATATATTGTGTTTGTTTTATGTTATATGCTCCAACACAAAATTACCTCACTGTTTACTTTTTCAAGTATTTTATAGTATAGTATAAGTGGACTAATACTTATGAGACTGATATATCATCTCAACTTAATTAATACATTTAAGTGAATCAAATGCAAATTGTTTTATTGCCCTAAATACCCTGATATAACATCTTAATCATTTGTACTAATTTACTGATTTGTTGCTCACAATTATTTGAATAAAAATGATTTAAACCAACAGTTTTTTTTTGCTTTCACTTGTTTTTTTTAATTTTTTCTTTGGACTAAAGTTAATATGTTAATATTGTTTTGTAAAAGCCGTTCCTTATGCCAGCCTTTCAGGATTTCACATCAGCCAGACAGTTGCATGTTAAGTCTAGAGGAAGGCAAATAGCAGAGGAAGAAATTTTGGCACTGTACTCCAGAAAACCAGGCACTGGTAAGGGGAAGAGCAACATGTTGCGCACTTTGGTTTTCAGTTGCTCTGCATGCACACTCAGGGCGTTTATAACTATTGTCCTGGCTGCAGAAGAATTTTAATCCATAAGTCTCACGTTGTGCAAGCAAGAAATTGATCCTGGACTACATTAAAGCAACTACTCTACAAGAGGACAGCACAATCTGGGCCTATAGCTCAACATAGCCAGCAGTTTTATCCTTTAATGACACTGGACAGAATGACAAGGTATTTCACATTGTGGGTATTTTGTGGCACAATGTGCTCCCTTCTGCTGGCTGTAGGGGCATTTGAGTGCTCAGAGAAGGAAAAGTTGCTGAAACTGATCCCCAGCACGGTGACACAGCTAACAGACTGTTTAATGGAGTGCACTGGGATGATGTTCATCAGAAAACTGCAACTTCAGGATAATCGTAACATACGGCTTAAAGATTCCACAGAAGGTAAGGCGACACTAAGTAACATTTTCATCTTAAAGATGCTGCAAAATTACCTATCGTAAGCTGAGTGTGTTCTGATGAGATAATACATAAACTAAATGTTGAGACAGTATCAGTAGTATAAGTTGTTCTCTCATGTCACTCCATCCCTGCTTGATTGATACAGACTTTATCTGTGTGTAGGCCTTCATAGAATATTTTCTCTTCCTAGGAGACCTTGGGGAATACTGTTGGTCTATGGAGCTCAAGTGCACTATTGGAGAGAGTTTTCAGAAAGCCTATGTGGTGTTGCCTGTGGATATATCTTCAGTTGGACCTGAGATACTGGAAGTCAAAGCCACTGCCCCCACTGCCACCACACTGCATGCACACAACAGCCCTGCCACAATCGCAGAGAACTGTGGCCTCCAGTACGACGTCACTCAGCACTTCAGCACGGAGAGGATGGGGGCTTCATTCTGCATACAAGTTGTCACCAAGGAAGATGTCATGGGGGACAAAGTTCTTAAATGTCCTCCCTATCTGGTCACCTTCTGGCAGAGGAATCCAAATCAGTCCAACCAAGAAGGTGGAGGATAAAATCTCAGTGATGGAAAAAGCACTCAGATCTTTTACTTAAGTAAAAGTACCACACTGTAAAAATACTATTACATATTATATCATTAGATAAGTCATGCATTAATGCATAAGCTTTTTATTGTTGTAGTTGGTTGAGGTGCAGCTATTTTTTAATTATTTTGTATAAGGCTGCAACAAGAAAATGGAAATACTCAAGTACTTAAATTTGTGCTTAAGCACAGGACTTGAGTATATGTTACAGTCCACCACTAATTGTCAGAATATCGGTTTGCAGTGAGGTTTATTTAACATGCTAAATATGTTGTTAGCACACTTAAAACCCCCTCTGAATATTTAAGTCCTGCTTGTATTATAACTATAACACATAAAGTAACTTGTAACTAATTCATAGTTATATACCACTGGCTTACACATTTACTAGTTTGGCTTTATTTTCCTTCTTTGCTCTCACCTAACTCTATTACCAGTGTGGATAGCACATGTGATCAGTGATTTATTCAAAAGCAACCAGAGTGATGAAAAAGTTCTGATAAATGATGTAAATATGATCTGTTAATGGTTGTAAGTTTTATAGCAATATTAAAATGTTTTATTTTCCCTTTTTCACTCATCTGTTTGACTATTGAAACATTAAAATATATTATTGTAACCTTATGTAGAACAAGAACATATTGCAAACCCAATTCCTGTTACAGTTAACTGCAAAACAGATTAAGTATACACTTACATCCTGGTCATCCTGTATGTGTTTGTCAGGTTACTGTACATGTGTAGTATGTAAGTATGTGCTGCTCTGGCTATCATATAATGTTTATGTGTTTCCATCATTTATCAAAAACAAATTTCACCTGCCCTGTTCTGTTCTTTTCTACTCACTAGAAATTATATATTGCCACCTACTGGTTATTATTTGAACTAAAAGAAATATCAAACCAGTCCCACCATCCAGCCTCTGGATGGCACACTTGTTCATTGCAGGGCAGTAACGTGTGTTTGTGTGTTGAAATTCCTATGCTATAAAAATGTGAAGTGGAAACAGTTGAAACATCTACTAAGATACTTGTGTTTTTCAATAACTGAGACCTCAATCGGTTCCTTAAACATACTAAATTTAAACCCCAAATGGGTACAGTTTCTTTGACAATACCTGATAGGACTTAACATAATACACTCTGAATCCACTTTTTGGAAATGATTTTGACCTTTTATAACAAATGTTGACAGTCTGTGCAGCAGTCAGCAGGTCCATATTTCCATCCATAGCCCTCTATAATTAAAACTACTGAAATGGATTGGATTTTAAATTCTTTATATTGGCATGTGTCTACAATCGTCTCATGGTCCATTCAGCTGTCCTGCACCTCCAGTTAGGTTTAAATGAGGGAGGATGATGTTGGTGCACACTGCTGGCAGACAGCCAGTACCCTCATAACACAACCACCCAGGGTGAGCGTCCAACAACAGACCTTTCTGCACAGCCTGTGCTCAGGCCTGCATTAAATAGTACAGTGTCTATGCTTCAAGAACAGCAGCACATATACAGTGGCAGACTAATGCTCTCTGAGGGGCAGCGTGTATGCCATGGCTATATGGCACTGCATCACGTTTTCTCCACTAGGAATGCAACCTAGAGGGCACCTTGTTACACCTTTTCCCATTTTAAGGGCATCCATTAGTTCACTGCATCATGTTTTTTCTACTGAAAGGGCACCATAGAGGGCCCTGCTTCACATTGTCTCCACTGAAAGGGCACCCAAAAGGGCATTTTATAACATTTCTCCACTGGAAGGGCACCTTATAGGGCCCTGCATCATGTTTTTTTACCACTAGAAGGGCACCCCAGAGTACATTTTAATCATGATTTCTTGAACACTGTGCCACAGAGGGCACTTTATCATGTTTTATGTAAAACAAGGGCATCCAAGAAGTCAGTGCCCTGGACCAGGTCTGCAATGGCCTTGTCACTGATCTGTCTTAAGATGAGAGCAGGAGTTTCCAGGTATGACAAAACTCCTTGAAAGAGATAAAAACAGGAGCAAACAGAGAGGAGAAGGATGGATGCTTCTCAGATTTGTAGCATGTACAATCTGTTTTGTGTATGCTTTCTGTTGATTTACTTTTAGCTGAAATGTGTTTTAATGAAGAATACATTGAGAGTGTGTCAGGCATTTATAGAAAGACCTTAATAAAAGCCTTTGACAAGTAGAGCAATTTTATTTCTGCTTAAGTTGTAGAGATTTGGGACTAATTATGGGGAAAAAAACAACACATAGCCTACTAAAGCATAATTTTCCAAAAGCTTTTCAAAAAAACTTCTGAACTATTGTATATTTTTTACTTTCCTTAGTTGCAAGGTACTTTAAAGATCTAGGTATATACATGGAAAATATGCTCAATTTCTAAAATAAGATTTATAGATTAAACTACTCAACAGGAAGTAGTTCAGCAGCCTAATGAGTACTTTTACTTTTGATACATTTTGCTGCTAATACTTTTACACTTCTCCATCAGTAAGAATACAAATAATTTGTAGTGGAGTATATTTACAGTAAGGTATTGCTATTTTTTGTTTAAGCAAAACGTCTAACACTAACTACACCACATTTGAACGTTGCACAACAGTCCTTTCCACCGTGGATTTGGCGGACCACTTAAGCGACGTACAACATTACGTCACTTCCGTAAACAGGACTCTTTACCTTTACTGAATAAACTCCATTATTGTACAAATGTTAAATGCAGCCAGCTAGCTAACGTTAAATAGATATTTTAATAACAGTTCATATTAAATACCACGTTCAAACGAGACAAAAACTAACAGCTAACGAGATATAATTAATGAAAATATCTTAAAACAATATTTGTCAGGCTGACGTCTCCGTGTTGTTGCTTCCTCCCCCTCAGCCCTGCGTCGTGCCGTGCCGTGCCGTGCCGTGCCGGGCCGTGCGGTGGATGGGAGGGGGAGTTGTTTCGGGGTGGCGGGCCGGGGTATCGCGTCTGTCGGCTCGGCTCCTCGGTGTTGAGCTAGCACACTTGTCGCCTGCCCGCATCCAGTATGGATAGTTCACAAGAAGAATGAAAAATAGCGACTATCATCGTGGCAGCTGCTTTTGTTGGTAAATACGACTCATGCACGGCTGCTGTTGCCATCGAGATCATTTTCAAGCTTTGGTTGGTAAACATAAGGCCTTTAACAGCTGTTCGGTTCTGTTTGTAAATACTGTGGGTCATTGTGTTGAGATGGTCTGAGCAATGGTTAGATATCTCATTTATGTTCCCGTTGTAAGTCAGAAACTGGCTGCGGGTGACTTTATATTTATATGACTGCACATCGTGTGTTTTGTGTTGAGATGATAGAGCTAGCTGTAGCTACAACATCTGAATTACCACCGGTTTTTTTTTTTGTTTGTTTGTTTGTTTTTGTCATTACTGCCCTGTCAAATTAGCAGACGTCCCCCTGAAGAGAGTTAGCAGCTATGGCCGAACAAGACCTTTGTCCTCACCTGGACTCCATAGGAGAGGTCACCAAGGAGGACCTCCTCCAGAAATCCAAGGTGGGTTTTCATATATTCGCTGTAGTTGTTCTGCACAATGTCAAAGCTGCACAGTCCAGGTCACTGACTGTGTGTGCCATGGCCTTTGTCTCCATCAGTTCAGACTGTGATAATAACCACATGAGCAAATGTGAGGAATATATGCTTTTATTCCGTTCCCTTCACTTGTGTTCATGTTGTCTTCCTTTTGTTGCAGGGAACTTGTCAGTCTTGTGGTGCAGGGGGCCCAAACCTGTGGGCCTGTCTGCAGGTAAGGTTAGGGCTTTTAAAGAAATGTTTTAAATGTTTGCCTTTTCAGTGGTTATTAGTATTTTAGATTGTGCACCATGTCATTAACCATAAATGATGACTTTTACTACTACTGCTGCTGCATTAATCATAAACCATTTGAGATCAGAAGGTCAGGTGAATGCTTAATAAGTAATGAGGATGTTGGGTATAAATGTAATTATAAATGCAGTAGCTACTAAACTCACGCAGGCAAGCCAATACACAATATGTGCAGTTACAGCTAATACTTTATACTCTTATACTTATTAATAATCCAATTCCGATTGATAGACAAGTAGATATTGTTATTGTTATTGTGATGTAATGTCTCTGCAAGATAGAAGAAGCCATAAGATCCTGTCTAATACAGTTTTTCTGCTCTGTAGAATGACTGCCCATATGTGGGTTGTGGAGAGTCCTACTCTGATCACAGCACCCTGCATTCACAGGTAAAACCCCCTCACTCTAATCATACCTTCCAGCTTTTGCTCTCCTTATCATCAGTTTACCTTCTTGGTGGATGGTTATGAGAGGGAAAACGTTCCCTTCTTCAATGATTGTGAGTATTTTTCCTTTAGGCCAAGAAGCACAACCTGACTGTCAACCTGACCACGTTCAGGATCTGGTGTTATGTGTGTGAGCGGGAGGTGTTTTTGGAGCACAGGCCTGCGCTGGTTCCTGTACCTGCTGCACCCCACCACTGTAAAGCCACAGAGCAGGTACAATATGGTCTCTCTCCGTTCTCCCACTCGATGGATTTAAATAGGAAAACTAGAAGGGCTAGTGATGCTATTTCAAATTCACACTACCCGTTCTTTACTCGCCTTCATATTTATAGTATCTATTCATTATTCCCAGGAAGCTGCTCCTCAGCCAGTAGGTCACCCACTAAAAGCCGTACCAATTGCTGTGGCAGAAGAAGAAGGTTCGGAGTCAGAGGAGGATGAGCTTAAACCCAGAGGTACGCCAATTCTACGGTCAACATTTCTCCTCCCAAAAATGCCAATACATGTCTTTTCATTGTTGGATTTTCTAAGTGTAGTATTAGGTTATAGCTGCCATATGTAATAGATATAATTGCCTAGGCCTGTTTCTAGCATTGATAATTAACTCCTAGTGGTGTCTTCTCCATTCTACTTATTCTACAAATATGAGTTTATATCTAGATTGCTTAGTTTGTACACTTTTATACATACACAGTACTGTACGGTTCTTGTTTCTCCTGTTATTTGAAGGCTTGACAGGAATGAAAAATATTGGAAACTCCTGCTACATGAATGCAGCTCTTCAAGCCTTGTCCAACTGGTGAGGTCACTTTCTCTAATTACATTTGGTCCATTACCGGGGTTTATTAATTCATTTTCCTTTAGTTAAACAGTGGTGCTCATGTATGTTTTTCCTTTCTTTAAGTCCTCCTCTCACTCAGTTCTTCCTGGACTGTAGTGGATTGGTCCGGACCGATAAGAAACCTGCTCTCTGTAAGAGCTATCAGAAACTCATCTCAGAACTCTGGCATAAAAAACGGTAATAAACACATAACAGTAACATAAAACTTCAGACAAGTGACGGAATGCAGCTGTGCATTTTATATAAAAAATGAGAGTGTTATTTACTAATGAATCATTTATAGTGTATTAAACTAACTCTCATGGCGGCTACCCTCCCAGGCCCAGCTATGTCGTCCCTACCAGTCTGTCTCATGGCATCAAACTAGTAAACCCCATGTTTCGTGGTTACGCTCAGCAGGTAGGGGCAAGCACCCAGCAGGTAACTCAACACTTCACTCAACAGCTTGACACTGTCTTGTGAACCCCTGTGTATTTTTCTCACACATTCCCTAAAAATGTCTTTTATTCTTCCTATTAACAGCTGCATTTGAGTTTTGACTTGAGTTGTTTACTTGTTCTTAAAAGGGATAGTTCTGTATTTAAGAGAAAATGTGAGCGTTTTTCATTGATTGAGTCATAGATAACAGCGGAGAGGAGCAGTAAGGAGGAAAGGATAGATATCATCTAATTTCTTTGGTAATCGAGACATTAACAACATGCAATCGCTTAAACTACAATCGGTACTTTCATTAGTCTTGCCTTCACCTCATAGAGTGGATTTCATAGAGGAATAGTAATTTTGGTAAATGTGCTTTTTTGCTTTCTTCCAGAGTAGTTAGCCTAGTTAAGTAGCTTTAGCCTAGCATAGCATAACAACTGGAAATAAGGGTAAACTGCTAATGACAACTAGTTACAAAATCAGTTTTGTGTAAATTTGAACAAATAAGATATTGATACCTTTGAACAGCGCCAGGCTGTTTCTCCCTGTTTCCAGTCTTTCTGCTAAGCTAAGCTAACCGTCTCCTGGCTGTAGCTTTTTATTTTGCATACAGACATGTGAGTGGCATCAATCTTCTTATATTCTTCGCAAGAAAGCAAGTGTATTTCCCAAAATGTCAAACTATTGCCTCAACTGTAGAGAGGCTGTATATGTCCACATGCCTTCAAACTGCATGCAGAAAGATTAAAAACCACATCAGTGACTTAGTCTGACACAGAAAATCCCCTTGAATACAAATAACAAATAAACAACTCAAATAAAACCTTTTGTGTTGAGTTTGTCTGATCCTTTTTAAGACACTGAATTATCATCAGACACTGAATTATCTGTGAAATGTAGTTTAGAAATGTTTTCATGTTTGATTCAGGCTTAGTGCATGTTTGAAGTGTCTGGTTTTGCTTGATTGCGGTTGCTATGGAAAAGTGTTGAGAAGAATTTTAAAATAAGGAGTTTTGCCTCATACCCACTGTCTATAGTGAGTGTGATTATTTTATAGGTTCTCCTTGTACCACTTTTTTTTAACCAATATACAAAACTCTGTCTTGTTGCAAGCAAGACACTGTTATTCACACACTTCTCTTTCCATCTTTAGGTTTACAGACATTTACTGTATTTGTTGCCCATTACCACATTTCCAACTTCTATGAAAAACTCCTGTCTCTGTGTATGTAACCATACTCATGCACCCTCCTCTTGACTGAATGCAATGTGCTTTTCTTGCTACAGGACACCCAGGAGTTCCTGCGTTGTCTGATGGACCAGTTACACGAAGAGCTGAAGGAGCCTCTGACAGAGTGTAGCATGAGCGGAGAGGGAAGTGATGGGGAGGAGATAAGAGATGGAGAACGCTCCCCATCTGAGGATGAATTCCTATCCTGCGACTCGGGCTCCAGCAGTGACCGGGGGGAGGGAGGAGGACTGGGTGACGGTGAGCTGCTCCTGCAGGATGAGTGTGATGGGGTCAGGCCACCGGCAGTAGGGGTGGTGGGCGTCAGTACTGGCGGGGTGATCTCGGAGAAGGAGAGGCTGAAGGAAAGGAGGGTGTCTGGCTCACCCCTACGTGGAGGCTCGCAAGAGATGGATGAGGATGCTGATGTGGATACAGCAGCTGAAGAGGGGGTTACTGAGAGGGGAGAGGAAGAGGAGTTAACGCCAACCGCAAACACCGAGGTCCAAAACCAAGAGAACAACCAGTTAACTGCTACTGGGCAAGGGCAAACCCAGAGCAACAACTCCTCAGGTATAATGCCAGCAGGAGCTTTATATTCCTACCTTCCACAATATTCCATAATTTGTCTCTAAACTGTCCGTTTTGTGCATCCAACACAATGTTTTTTTAGAGCCAGACAATGAAGTGTCCATGACCCAGACCCAGTCCACTCCCTGCAGTCCGGTGCGAACCCTTCAGGAGCTGCATCCCAAACTGTCCTCCAGCCCACCTCGCTCCAGCCCGCTCCGCTCTGCAGGACCTGCATACTCCTTCAAAAAAGGTAAAGAAACACTGGGGTGTTTCACTGCTCAAGGCATGTCAACATTTCTACTGACTCCTGGGGAGTCATTTAAATTTGATGAATTCAGCAAGGATTTCTTACATGTAACATAGAGCTGGACCCTTTTTCTTACCTCTAGGTTTGCAGTCCTGCAAGTTAACAATGCAGTGTTTGGTTAGGTAACCTGGTTTGAAAAACAATGTTTTTTCCCATTAATCCTTCCTTCCTTTTCAGAATCAACACGGGTGAATTTTATTTATTTTTCTTAAGGTTCCAATGACACCCAGTTATTGCTTATGTGGATAGGGGGGAGTCAAACAGGAGATACTGGTTTGTGTGTGTGGGTTGTCATTACCTCTATTTACAGGGTACCCCCTTGAGACCACACAGTCTAGGAATGGAAATGTATTCTTATGCATCTCTTCCTTTATAGTTATGCTAGCAGCGTGGTTCTAGGGAGATGATGTATCCTGATAAGTTTGTTGATCCCCTGAGTTTTGGAAGGTTTGTCATGAAATTTGGTGCAGACATTTAAGTTCCAGCTCAGCATAAATCGTAAAAAAAACCATGGCTTGGAAAATTATTTTACTTTTAATTAGCAAATGTTGGCATTTGTTCACTCCAAACTAAGATGGTAAACAACAGACTTGCTTGCTCTCTGCATGTTAGCGTTGTCATTGTGACATTGCATTGTTCCAAAGTATGCATGCTTGTAGATACCTATTCTTGTTGAACTAAGATTAACCTCCACTAACTTTGTGAATGCTCACCCAAATTGAAACAGTGGCTTTGAGCTTCATCTCAGTACATATCCTGTGCCTCTTGCTCCATGTGTAGATTTGTACTTAAACTTTGCAGCAGCTTGTAGTATTTAAAGTCTGTAGTGTTAAAACACAGATCCAGCTGTGAGCCTATTGGGATCCTGCTGAAATAGTTGTCTTCTGTCCACCACAATATATACACAGACACTCTCTTGCTTGTTTTGTCCTCATCCACGCGCAGTACTGCGGCTAGCATGTTCTTTGCTAGGTTAAGTCAAACAACATTGTCAATGTTAAGTTTGTCCTCTGATATGCCGTCATGAATCTTCCAGCTCAGCTGCTGCTCAGTGCCAGGAAGAAGAAACAGTCTCACTATCGCAGTGTGATCTCTGACATCTTTGATGGCTCTATCCTCAGTCTGGTCCAGTGTTTAACCTGTGACAGGGTGAGTTGTTCTTCACAAACACCAGGGGGAGCTACATATTAAGTCAGAAACAACTGTATATTTACTAAATAATATTAGATTTTTTTTGCTTTAGGTGAAATTTTAATAAATGTATAGCCTATATATCGATTCAAGTTTGTGATTTATTTTTATCATTCACATATGCTTATGATTATTACTATTTATTTGAAAACGTGGATATGAAATGGCTTATTTAATCCAAAATCACTTCCAACAGACTGTTTTGTGTAGATAAGCATTTATTTCACACTTCTTAGAGAGAACCAATTTTTAAAGTTCTACTACTCTACTATTCTACTCTACTCTGAAAGGGTTGTGTAACACTGTGTAAAACAATTCTCTGAATTCATGACAGGTCTCTACTACAGTGGAAACTTTTCAAGACCTGTCCCTCCCTATTCCTGGTAAAGAGGACCTGGCAAAGCTTCACTCCTCTATACATCAGAACCTCCCAGTCAAGACGGGCGTGTGTCCCGACACATACAGCTCGCAGGGCTGGATCTCCTACATCATGGACTCTATACGCCGGTTAGTGGACCACGCAGTCAGTGTGTGTGTGTGTGTGAACGCAAAGACATCAGTTTAGCAGAATCGTTAGTGATGAGGCATGATAGATTAGAGGTTAGAGGTTTCATTTTCAGTGTGTGCTGTCTCTCAATCAGTCAGTGGTGCAGTTCTAAATCAAGATTTGCTTTTGTCGGAAATGAATACCCACCAAGCATCAAATGCAGACAGATTTTTTGTTTGGCGAGTAAAATCTTGTTACTCAAAGTACAATAAAAGCTTTCTGAGGAAAAAGCCAATAAGAGTAATTTACACTGGAACTGAGGAGTGAGTTTTTTTTAAGGAATGTCAGCCACTTAGGTAGATATTGCCCAACCCTATCGTCACACTCACTTAATTCCTCATTATCTATGAATCCTGGTTAGACTTCTGCTCTAAAGAAATTCACAAATTCTGTCAGGGCAAAGGTTTATTTTTCATACCTCGAAGCTGATAAAGGAAAACGTGCGAGATTCAAGCAGCGAGATGGCCTTGAGACACCTGGGAATCGGTTCAGGACTGATGACTTGGAGAGATTATGTACTCTGAGGAGGGCTCTGAAATGCACTCCAGGACAAGATTTGACTTCTGATCCTCCAGATGACCCAACAGTAGTGATGTTGCATTTTTAAGGACTGCATAAAGTGTAGTTGTTGTCAGCAAAGCAGTGGGTTTCCTGAGATACCGTTAATGTATATGCTTTTGACTGATGGAAGAGGGCTGCTTGCTTGACGTAAAAGAATCACTTCCTTTGCCAAGTGCATTTGTATACAGCTGGAATGTCATCTGTATTTATCAGAGATGCAGAGACAGGCCTTGGCATGCAGTTTGCCATTACGGTGCTGATGCCTTCATTTGTTCCCTAGCCAGTATAGATGGAGTGACGCCTGAATGTGAAAGTTGTCACCAGACTCTGCAATTCCTTTAGCTCTACAAAGCTTTATAGAGTCCTAAATACATTTTTTGGGGGGTTTTACAGCCTTTGTCTTAACTGTTTTGGTTCATGCTCACTGGTCTCATCAGCATAGCCTTCTTCAGTGAAAAGTTCTTATAAACCAGCAGACAGACTAAGTTAGCAACTGGCTGGGGAACATTGTGGAGTATTTGGCATCTAAAGAGCCATATATTTCCCTCAGGAGTTGGTGGAGCTAGAACACAGCTAAGAGGATTTACAGTGTGGACTTGCCAAGTTGCCAAATGAATACTAATGTTGCTCCGTAACTGCTGAATGTGTGAATAAGCAAGTTTGCCATATCAATTTCACAAAATTATAATATGACAGTTTTGTGTTTTTGCAGAATCACAGACATTTATGTAATAAATGCAATTCCTGCCTCAAAGGCCTTGTTCGAATGGTAGGAGAACTCAAGACGACCACCTAAGGAGCAAACCTTTCAGGAAACTGTAAGATCAGACATATTTAGGCTGAAAGCTGCTCTTTAAACTTACTGCCATCAAAGATCCAAAGCTAGTATCACTCCAGGCAGCATTGCCTTTGCGGTTGTTTACTATCAGGATATGGACTAAAGAAGCCTGATGTCTTTATGTGGTTGTAATGATTGCGTATCTTTGTATTTTGCCTGAACAGGTTCGTAGTCTCATGTATCCCCACTTGGTTTTGGGGCCCCATGGTAACCCTAGAGGACTGCCTCGCTGCCTTCTTTGCTGCAGACGAACTCAAAGGTAAACAGGATTACACTGTGCTATTGTACTATAATATAGTAGATAAGAAGATTTCTGTCAGAATTGACATTTATTTTAAATCTTTTCCAGGGGACAACATGTACAGCTGTGAGAGATGTAAAAAGTGAGTATGTACAGTAAATCCGGGTGGGGACATTTATTATAACTGGAGAAATTCTGTTCATCATCAGTTTAAAGAAGAATATTTTTCATTTATTTCATTTTATTTACAGAGCACTTTGTTTTCTACAGGTTGAGAAATGGGGTCAAATATTGCAAAGTGCTTAGACTTCCTGAGGTACACATTTTTTTCTTGTTGCTGCCAATAACAGCACAAACAAGCTACAAATAAGTTTTGCTTGTGGTTGGCCACATAAAGTGTTTTTTCCTCAATTGTCTATGCAGATTCTGTGCATTCACCTAAAGCGCTTCCGGCACGAAGTCATGTACTCTTTCAAGATTAGCAGTCATGTATCTTTCCCATTGGAGGGCCTTGACATGCGACCTTTCCTGGCTAAAGAGAGTCCATCGCAAGTCACCACTTACGACCTGCTGTCAGTCATTTGTCACCATGGCACTGCAGGAAGTATGAGATAACTTCATTTCCTACACATAAGTGCATTTCAAGTGTTACTTCCATATAATTAACATATCTAAGAGATTGAGCAAACATCTGCATATTTTTATCTATACCAATCACTAATGACCTTTTTTTCTTTTTTTTAAATATTGTTTTTTACTTTTTTCTCTTCTCTTACACTTTTTCTGTTGCTGCAGGTGGACACTACATAGCTTACTGTCAGAATGTGATCAATGGCCAGTGGTATGAGTTTGATGACCAGTATGTCACAGAAGTCCATGAGACAGTGGTGCAGAATGCAGAGGCCTATGTGTTGTTCTATAGGTGAGCCTTTGAAGACCCCGTAACAAAATCAATGCTGGTTTATTCAAAATGTTGTTACTGACTGTATTTTTCTTGGACCCATACAGGAAAAGTAGTGAGGAGTCGGTGAGAGAGAGGCAGAAGGTCGTGGCTCTGGCCAATATGAAGGAGCCCAGCCTGCTGCAGTTTTACATCTCCAGAGAATGGCTGAACAAATTCAACACCTTCGCCGAACCAGGCCCCATCAGCAACCACACATTTCTTTGTCAGCATGGAGGTGTGTGTCTGGAATTTTTGTAAAGGGCAAATTCCTGTCTTGGCAGACTGAGAAATCTTTAGGTACAGGCTGTGGTTTCACACATAAAAGTCAGTTTATTAGTCATGGGGAGTATTACTCAACCTGTACAAACAGTATATCTGTATCTCTAGAGGAGCTTTGTCAAGTCTGAGAAACTGATGATGTTAGCTGTGTTATTTTGGCCTGGGCTTGAGCTTACAAATTTTGAATAGAAAGCCTGCGTTGGGCAAAATGTAGTAAATTACTCATTACATGGATGTGACATGCAGCAAAGGGCTGCAGGTTGGAATTGAACCCAGGCCACTGTGGTAAATACTAGGGCTACTCAATCACAGTTTCCTAAAATCTGTTGCTACCCTCTTTTAACAAATTTCTTTTCCCACATTAGTAATTTTAGATCTGTTAAAAGATGGGAGTTGTGGGCACCCGGTTAGCTCAGTCGGTAGAGCTGGCGACCCATATACGGAGTTGCTGCAGCAGCCCGGGTTCGAATCCAACCTGTGGCCCTTTGCTGTGTGTCATCTCCTCTCTCTCTACCCACCTTTCCTGTCAATCTTCAGCTGTCTATCCAATAAAGGCTTGAAAAGGCCAAAAAACTTAACTTAAAAAAATAAAATAAAATGGGAGACGTCCCTGTGACATTTGCCCCCTCTGGACATTTAAGCTCTTAAAATGAATAATTATTTTGCCCAACCCAAAAACTGAGAACACAGCTGTGTCGTTACCACAATATTGCACATCATGAAAGAAATATATATTTCTTCTTAACAGATGTTTCTTTTGGATTTGTATGATATTTGGCTTGTTACATTTCATAATTAGAAAAACATGGCTTCATTGCGCTGTGAGTTACAGGCCGCAGGAGGACAGCAGGGAAAAAATGTACCATGGATGTTAGAATTATTTACAGTCATATCTAACATATCTTATTTCTGTACAGGAATCCCTCCTAATAAATACCACTACATTGATGATCTGGTTGTGATTGTTCCCCAGAATGTGTGGGAGTACCTTTACAACAGGTAAATATGCAACATGCTACCATTTCGATTTGTGTGTTCTCGTTGCACTAATCAATATTTCTATATTATATGGATCAAATGGCTACATCTAATGTGAAAGGAGCCACTTGTAGTGACAAACATACAGAGAATTTTAAGTCTGGAGAGCTGAGGGGAACTGCAAAGTCAGAGTGTTTTAGAATTTTAGCTTAAGCCAATTCTTTTGGTTTTATAGCCTTCAACTTTACTGTTTGGTTCAGTCTCACTGCTCTCATCAACCCTGCTTCCAACCGCAAAAGGCAGCTGTTTTCTGCCAAAAAAAGAGCTCTAAGATCCACTGCACAGTACCTGCAATACCAAATGGCATACAGACATAGTTAGAGACTAGCTGGTGAACGTAGTTGAGGATTTGGCAACTAAAGAGCCAGCCATTTCCCTCAGAAGTTGGTGTAGACCAAAACAGAGCTAAAAATAGAGAGTGGATATTGCCATGGCCTTAGTGGAATGTTGATTGAATGATTTGCATTTGTATGCGTATGTTCACATTCATTTGTGTTAATTTCTCACTATATGTGCCTTTCTGTTAAATGTTTCTGTCCTCAGTTTTGGAGGCGGTCCAGCAGTGAACCACCTCTATATGTGCGCCATCTGCCAAGTGGAGATTGAAGCTCTGGCTAAACGCAGAAAAATGGAAATAGACACTTTCATCAAGGTAAAAGCCTGTATTCTGCAGGGGTTTGTGCGTAATTATGTCTTTATGCTTCATGTTGGATGTTGAATGAGCAGTTTTCTCTTGTCTGTAGCTAAACAAAGAGTTTCAGGCTGAGGAGGCTCCGACTGTAATCCTGTGCATCAGCATGCAGTGGTTCAGAGAGTGGGAGAGCTTTGTGAAAGGCAAAGACAATGGTATGATCTTGCTTTTAGACAGTAGTGCATTAAAGTAATCTTTTATTCTTTGCAAAATGTTATAATTTGTTTTCTCAGAGCCACCTGGTCCCATCGACAACAGTAAAATTGGCGTTATGAAAGGAGGACACATACAACTCAAGCAAGGTAAACCTCAGCACTGTTTGAAAAGGACTTAAAGTTGAAAATGAGAAAAATAGAATGTCAATAAAAAAAATGTATGGTTGTTTCTGCCCTCAGGTGCAGACTATGGTCAGATCTCAGAGGAGACGTGGCAGTACTTGTTGGGTATTTATGGCGGAGGCCCTGAGATCGCAGTGAGACAGACGGTGGCCCCGGCTGACCCTGACAGCCTTCATGGAGAGAGGAAGATTGAGGCAGAGACCAGAGCACTTTGAGAAAAAAAGAGGTTGGAATGTTTACTTATTGGGAAACACTGTAAAATATAAGAACTCACATTCCAATGTATATACACATACTTGCATACAATCACATGTTTAAATATACTCTGGGTAAGTCAGTGGAAGCTGGTCAGGGAGCTTGCAGCTGGTCTTGGAAGAAGCATTTTTTCCACCCACTTTGCTTACGTCAACCACATGAGCTCATGAATTCATTCTGGCCAGCAGAGATTAAATGTCTACACATGTCCAAGAATAATGGAGGCAACACAGCCAGCTAGATGGGTCAACTTGTCTACTTGTTCTCAACTTGTTTTTCAACTTCCATTGTCTCCAGGTCTTCTGATTCCCCTTTCCACTCCTGCCCTCACAGGAAGCTGAGGAATTTGCACCTTGGTGACGATGCCTCGCCGTGAGCACTTTGTAAATGTAGCAACGCATTATTCTGAAGCCGTGTTGCAAAAGGGTGAACCGGTACTTAAATATCACGTAGTTTATTTATTGGAAAACTCTGAACCTCAGTGTTTAGGTGTAAAAAAATAAATGGAGTTGTTTTTGGTAGCTATGATGTTTCAGTGGCTGCTGTAGTGACTAGGTGTCATATACTGCTAAACTGGCCAGCAGACAGCTACTGGTGTCATGAACCAGTTTGCTGAGGAGGAGAGCAGAACTACAGTGTGATGTTTGGTTTGAGGACTTTTATTCCTCAATGGAAACAACAACTAAGAGACATTATTAAGCTTTCTGTTGTTTGCCTGTTTACTAGTTACATAGCAACAAGTTCAGACATCATCAAGTGAGATATTGCATAAATCTTCCTCTTGCACCTCCAACCTTAAATACACAGTATAACTAATCCCTCAGGAACGGAAGTCTTTTGATTGTTTGAGCCGGTGAAACAATTATATTGACAGAGAATAAGAAGAAAAACACAGCAGGGTTGTTTCAAACCACAAAACATGCATGTGTTCCAAAAAAGCGTTTTCACGGTCATTTGTATTTGAAAAGCTTCAAAAAGCTTCAAAATGCATGTAATGGCAACTTCTTCATCTGGACCTGTAGGGACTTTTCACTCACAGGATCGAGTTTATTTGCTCAAACACACAACACCTTAAGGTGCTCAAAATGATTACTGATCCTGTCCAGCACTATCCATAAATAGGCATACAGATATATGGCTCTAATTTTAAACAGAGTAGATACATTTCTGAAAAGACTAACTATTTTAGGTCATATATGGCAAGAGTGCAGGAGTTAAGTAAGAGGAGGATTACATAGCTGGTGCAATAACGGTACATTTGCTGAGGGGTAATTAGAGAATCTTAACTGGCTTTTCTTTTAATAGCCTACATAGGTTTGAAATTCCTCTGAAACATCACAGTGTGAATTCCCTGATATCAGTTCTTAAAAGAGATTATTCCAAAATGACTAATAATGCAGTACCTGTATATACCAAGAGAGGACAGTATGAAATGAAATGTAATGTAACAATTCAGCAAGATAAAAAAACCAATCTGACAGCATCACAAATAATTAGCACAACATGCACAAATCCAGACCTGTTACAACAGAATGATCATTTATGATTAGTATCTGATTTATGAAGTATATTTTCTTATTTTTTGAATAATATCTTAATTGTGCATGTTTCGTTATCAGAAAGATGAAGCTGTACCCTGTGGTAGGGACACTACATTATGAGGTATTTGCTTGTAAAAAAATATGTGCATCTGCAACTTGCATTTTTGTTGAAGATGCATTTTAAAATGTGTAAAAATACACCTGTGTTTGCCAATTTAGACACCATGGCTTGTTTACTCAAATGATATTCCTGTGTGCAGTTTGAACTTCCTCCACCCTCACAGGAAACAGTCCCCTATCTGCAGCACTTCGAGTCGATAAACTAGATTGACATCTTGCTTTTTTCAAATATCTTTTCATTATAAAGAAGAGTATAAAGAGTGCTGTGCAATTTAACAACAACATTTGAGACAACTCAAACAGCTCCTAAAATTCCCTTCCAGCTTCTATTTGAAGCAACCAACATGCAGAGTTGCTCAGATTGTTTTTGTTTTTGTTTGTTTGTTTGATAATTTATAGTTGTAACTAAGTTTTGATCTGAAATCTCAATAGTTATATATTGTTGTGTTATTTTTTATTTATTGTGCAATTCATTTTACAGCATAATCAATGCAATATTAATGTGCCAGGGTGAAATTTAGTCCAAGCTCAGCTAAATAAACAGTGTCCTCTATCTCATTGTAGATAATCACATGCTTGCCTTTTTTTACTGTACAGATCTGCATAGGCAATGTTTGCCACCACATTTGAATCAGTTAAACCTAGCATTGTGGTAGAGCGAATAACGCATGGGAAATGCAAGAGAAGAAGAATGTGTGACTGCTTTTCTCCTGTCCTTTAATTAAATAGTCTAATTTACTAAATATTGTTAATAAAGACCAATTTTGAAAAAAATCTTATTTATTTTCTGTTAAATTGAATTATAATTATAGTTCTGTTTAAATAGCATTATCAATTTAATTAAAATTTTCATTTATAAGATTACAACAATTCTGAATTTTGATTCAATTTACATTAACTACTGATGCTAAAATCCCCTGAGCATAAACAACCAATGGAAAATTGATAAATTATTTTTTAACGTTTTCATTTATCAATAATCATTACGTCGTAATTATACTTATTAGACTTGTATAGAGAACCCTCCTGGAAATAAAATACTGCTACTAAGCTGTTACCAGTCTAAACGTCCACAAGACTAGTTAGTCAAACAAAAGACAGCACAGTAACTTGAAGCCCATTTGTGAAAAGAAAAGCAGCAAGAATTGCTTATAAAAACCTGTGATTTTTAATGCCAAATAACGGAAAGTAAGAAAGAACACTGATTTTTCTTTTGATCTTCAGTGGCCATGCAGTATTCCCATATGGATACAGTAGCTCTTGCCTTCTGCTTCTTTTCCTTTTTATTTGAACCTGTTTTTTTGTAGCAGCTTTGTAGAGATCTGAAATATAGACAAGGAAATTATGAGTTGAAATGTAAAGAATATGATAATTTAATAATTGATGATCTGCAATATGTAAGTCATCCTACCTTGGAATACAGTGCCTTCAAGCCCCTACACACCCACAATGCATAGGTGTTTACATATTATGGCTAATTACAAATGTGGGAAAAGTTATAACTTCATCATTTGAAGTTTAATTCATGAAGTTTGGTCACCTCATATACATTCCCAGCATATCTCTCTGCTCAACTTTATTCTGAGTATGAACCTTAATCGGCCAGAATAAGGGAAAGCACCTGTGTGGGTATGCAGGGGCTTCGTTTAAATTACCATCCACCTTGACTTTACAAAGGTCTATGTGCATCAATTAATCTCTCAGCTGTATTTCATTGTAAGATCAATCAGAAAAGGTGACACAGATCCCAAAGATTTAATTAGACTGGTCTACGTAACATATGATGCGTTGTTTGTTTTTGTAAGGAGGCAGTGGGATGTAGAATGCACATGCAATAGTTTGGCTTTTTTGCCAAGAGTTTGGCGAGAAGGCCGATACCACTCTCACACCTATGAGGTAAATATTAGATTACCACCACCAGCCAGTTAGCTTAGCTTAGCAGAAAGACTGGAAACAGAGAAACAACTGTTCTGGCTCGTAACAAAATTGGCCTCCGAGCACGTCCAAAGCTCACTAATTAAAGGTTCTCTCTTGCTTTTTTTGAAGTTTGAAAACGACAAGGTGTGGCCAGATTTTCCCCTCTGCTTTCAGTCGGTAGGCTACGCTAAGCTAACCGGTTGCTGGCTGTAGCTTCACATTTAGCATGCAGACATGAGAGGGGTTTTCTCTTTCGCACTCCCAAAATGTTAAATTATTCCTTTGTGCCTAGAGTCATTTTGTGTTATGAACAGCTATGAGATTCCAGGACAAGCAAGCTTGTGAAACATACTGAATCCGATTAAGTCCAACATGCTCGGCACACATATTCAGAAGTGTAATTATCAGAAAAGCAGCTTTAACATTCCCTGTGTAATATATCCAACAAGGGACACCGTAACCCAAAATACCCACGATGTTTTAAAAGATCTTTTTCACTGCAGATATTTTGACTTGTCATAGTAGGAAAAGCACTAATATTAGTAATTGCTAAGTGTGATAGTAAGCCATGCTAGTGAGGAAGAATGCATGGAGGAAATGGAAGGCAGCTGGGTAGTTTCCAAGATGGCAGAGCATACAATACATTGCAAGTGGTAGCGTTCTTGACTCTTTAAACCTCCTTTATGAACTGACACCAGAAGCCAACATTGCAAATATACATGGAATTCTGAGTTGTGCTTCTTGGCATATGGTCCAGTCCAATATTCAATTTCTTTTAGCTCTGGTTTTGGTCCCTACCAACTCCTGACCGAAACATCTGGCTGTTTAGTTGCTAAATGCTCCACTATATTCACCAGCTGGGTCACTAAATGTCTTCCGTTTGGTGCTGAGCAGATAGCGTACAGGTTTTGTTTGGGTTTGGTTGCGCTACAACCCAGCTAACGTCACTGTAATGGCTAACGTTAACCAAGCAAGCATTGAGCAGTTATATGGTTTCCCGACTCTCTCATGAAATACATGAAGTTCCCCGGAGTCGCCATATCCTCCAGAATAGCCCAGGACCAAAACGATCAAATACAGAGCAGGCAGCCATTATTAATTATTTCACTTGAACTTCACCCCTCCCACTATGACATGTCAAACATCAGCCATGTTGTTTAACTTTATTTCTGACATTTTTTTTATGTGTCCAAAGAGCAATTCATCAATTTCAATAAGAGGACACAGAATTGTCCACTTGTCGTAGGTAAAATGTGTTGTAGCCTTTGTGGGTTTTTTTTTTTTTTGTTTTTTTTTCCAACACATGGTCAGTGTGTATCTACAAGACATAATATTAATACTACAGAGATGTGTGTGCTATGTTTTTGGGGGAATAAGTGCAATGAAAAAAAGACAAATCTTTGTGCAATCTTAGCCCTGTCATCAAAGAGACACCAGACAGCTGTCGAACACAGAAGTCTGAACAGCTGATATGCAGCTTAATCTATTGCGGTGTTGAAAAATGTTGAGTAGTAATTATTTAATTATCCCCACCTGGGAGTTTGTTTGCCTGTGTTACAGCACGTATCTATGCGTGTTTCCATTTGACTGGAAAACACTGCTGTGGTTCGATAGAGTTCACACGTAATATCATGACACCCTGCAGACAGCCGACAGGATTTTGCTGACTCATGTTTTCCCTACATTTTACAGTGTGGCTGTTGTGGTCATGGTTATGGTGATAAGAGGGGGTTTAAGTGGTTGACCTCAATTCAATGGGATGTCTTAATGTCTGTAGAACTTATGTAATTACTCATGACTGGTTAAATGATTAAAATTGCCTGGTCTTTGATTTGATTTGTGTTTTTATTGCTTTTTATGTTGTTGTTGTTTTTTTTTTAACTGGAAATGAAGATAACTGAAACTGACAATTGCTTTTGGATAAATGTTTTAAACGACAGGTTTGTTTTTAAAAGGGGAACACAAGTGGTCAACGGTGAGTATTTCTCAGCCTGTGTATAAGGCTTTATAAGGTCTTTTGTGGGATTACATGAGTGCATTACATTAAAGGTCCAGTGTATAGCATTTAGGAGGATCTATTGGCAGAAATGGAATATGTTTTCATTAGTATATAATCACCTGAATATAGAAATTGTTGTGTTTTTGTTACTAAATGAGCGGTTTTTATTTACAGACACTGCAGGGCTTCTTCCATGGAGTCCGCCATGTTGAACTGCCATGTTCCTATAGTAGCCCAGAACAGACAAACATAACACTGGCCATAGAGCCTTTTGTGCTTTTCCCAAGATTCATGGCCACCGTAGTTTCTCCTACACACTTTTCAGCCTCTTGTCATTCCCAGGTCAAATACAGACGCGAGCGGTGTTCAGGTCGTCGCCATCTGCAACTTCACCTCTAGGTGCCACTAAATCCTACACACTGGTCCTTTAAAAAGGAAGAATTTGACATAATGTGAAATTTGCTTCCTCGCTTTCTTGCTGAGAGTCAGATGAGAAGATCAATACAATTCACATAGTTGTCTATTGAATGGAGGCAGTTAGCTTAGCATGATGACTGGAAACAGGGATAGCCTGGCTCTGAAATCCGCCTACCAGCACTAATGAAGCTCGCAAATTAACTGACTGCTCTGACTCCAGCTTCATATTAAGTGCGCAGAAATCAGAGTGGTATCAATCTTTTTATCTAACTTTCTGCAAGAAAGTAAATAAACAAACGTCTATGCTATTGATTGCATTATAGGAAAAGTCAGGAGTTGGACCAATCTTTTAAAAATCTGTCTCTTTTGAATCCTTTAAGATGATGGGTCTCTTGATGGGTGCAATGCTATCCTGCTTGAGTACCCCCCTGCAGTATTTACCTTAAATAAATATAAATATATCCATATAAATCACTAAATGCATATTTAAATGAGTCACTACTTCCCTTGACATGCTGCCTTGGATTACGTCCAAGATGAGCTTCACTGCTGTTTCATCATCTTCATCTAGAGTAAAGCTTTCTGAATTCTAAAGATGAGGTATATACATTGCTTCTTTTACTGTGTTTGTGACTTTTGTTGTCTACAGGACAAATATAGTTAAGTACAAGACACACAGAGAGAGAGAGAGAGGGTTTACCTGTTTTAGTTTGAGAAAGAGGGAGCTACTCTCAAGTGAGCAGCTGTGATGTCATCTCAAGTCCCATACGTATGCTGAGCCCAGACAGAGGCAGACTGAGAGGAAAACACACCAGGCTGGTGAGAGGATATGATGCACATGCTGAGCATTCGGGGAGACAGCAGAGGTGACACACTGTACAGTTCAGGTAAGAGACAAGAACTGGCTTAATGGATAGCCTTTCATATACACACAGATGCAGCTGCAGCATCCGTCTCCACCACATTAGGGAAAACATTGGTTTCCTGCACTGCTATGTGTCATCAAAGCTGGGATACTTGTTTGTACTTGTGCTGTAAGGGATGCAATTCGTGTGACACAGGATATACTGATCAGTTATGTAATATCCCATGGCAGTAGTTGCCCCTGCTGCATCCATTCACTGGGATGGGATGGGTGTGGCAAGTAGCAGCAGACCACTTGTCCTTTCCATCCTCATCATGAATGTCACTTTCACTCTTGCTCATGGCTCTCTGTTTACCGGCCAGCTTTGCATGATGAAGGTCAGATAAATAGATTTAGGAGAGCAGCTTGAGATCTGTGTTACGGAGCTGGAATTAGCAGTCATGCATGGAAATATGTGAAAGGAAAAATCAGTTGCATGGATTGTAGCACTGTAATTGTTTTGAATATGTTGGCTGAAAACAAAAGTACACAGTATCCACAGTTGTCCATCACATGGAAGCATCAATGTCATTTTAGTAGTTGAAATAACTCTTGTGGAGGTGATCTGTCAGAAGACACTGGATTCTACCAGGATTATATATACACACACATGTTTTTATATTCTAGATTATTATAACACTTGAGTGGTTCACCCATTTTATCTAGTATGCACTGGTTACCGCTTCACAACACTACTGTATGTAGTTATTTTGGCAGAAAGTTAAAATGGATGTCATACCTGAGTCAGAACTCTGACCAGGACCAGAGGGAGAAAAACACATTACACCTATTTTAACGTCCGTACATTGGTTGGTTGAACATAAAACCAGCCTAGCTTTTGGTTAAAATGTTTCATGGCCATGGTTTATTTTATTTTATTTATTTCATTGTTTAATTTAAAAGAAACTTCTCTATTTTATTTGTTATTATCGTATATCTATTTTATTGTTTTATATGATTACATTTTTTATCAGCTTAGGGCAAAAAAGGAACAACAGAATGTCTATTGTCTATTAAGCTGCCTCTAACTAACCTCCATCCATTTCTTTCCCCAGGCATATATCACATCTAATTTGACAGCAATGTTTCATCAAGCTGAGTGGAGGATAACTAACATGACACAGGAAGCAATATCATTTATCAGAACTCCAGTATGAGAAGGCCCTGTGGTGATCCTGCACCCTGCACAAGCAGAAATCGCTGCAGCATCATCAGATAATTCAGCTGTTCTCTCTGTGAACCCTCTCAGTGGTTTTTGCAAAAGCGACTGCTGTAAATATTTACATGCCGTGTCTGGCAGCTCTTAGAGACGAGACGGAGAACACCTTGAAGACTTGTAATAAATCTGTGACCTTTTAACTCATGGTAACCCTGCGGGCCCTGCAGGCAGGGCTGAATGCAAGACGGCTGTAGTTATTTTCTGAAAACAAGAGGGAACTCGATCAGGAGCTGCACTCCTTGTTTTGTGGAACTCTGTATACAGAGTTAGGTGGTACCAGACTGTACCTTGTGCTCTCTCTCTCTCTCTCTCTCTCTCTCTCTCTCCCCCCCCCCCCCCCCCTTTTCTTCCCCTGCCTGTTTCTTTCTCTCTCTCTCTCTCCCCCTGCCTGTTTCTTTCTCCACTACATGCCTTTTATGTGAGACAACACAGATACATTCACAAAAGTTTTACACTCCAGAGTCAGACTGTAAAACCAACTATTTTCATTTAAGAACATAAAAAATGTAATTCCAAATATTAAACATGAAAACATAAATTTAATCATCCCACACATATTTGCTGTACATTCCAATAAATTGACCTCTTATATAATATATGAATCTATTGTTCTTATATGCAGCTGGGAAATATATGCATATGTGGTCATGTATTATAATGTATGAGACAACAGTTTACATATATAGCAATCATTTGCAATAATAAATTCTACAATGCAATACAAAATTTACTGAATTGTTAAATGTGGGTCATGATAATAGATCTAAGTAGTATATGTAATTATATTAGTGTTTACTAGTATTGTAAAATGCAAAATATATTTGTGGCTGATGAATTGGTGAGGATGAATATTTATACTGGTGTCTGTGAGAGTGTGTAGTGTAACTGTTAACACCTGTTTAAACTGTCTCCTGACCTGTTTGCGCACGCACACACACACACACACACACACACACACACACACACACACACCATGGGCTGTGCCATGTGTTCCCAGCTGGTTGACATGTGGACAGTGAGAGTGGGCAGGACCGGCCACAGGGCCATGGAGCTTACTGCCTACCCACAGATGCTTCAGGGAGGCTACCACAGGGTGACAGGCCTCCACTACATGTCCTCCTTCTCTGATGCTGAGGACTGCTGCGATGACACCAGCTCCGGCAGCTCTCTCACCTTGGACTGGCAGACACAGGGGACTGATGGTTAATACTCGACCAAGAGGTGTTATAACACCAACATGTAAATAAACATGATGAAATATACAGGAAATGCAGTGTATTTGCAATAAATGTTGTGAGTGATGGAATAAGTATTCAGATCTTTTACTCAAGTAAAAAATAGCAATACAACATGCAGAAATACACTATTACAAGGAAGATTCCTTCAGTGGTGAAAAGTGAAAAAGGACTCAAATACTGTACTTAAATACAATTTTGAGAGTAATCTTATGAAATGTAAGTAATCATATGCAACAGTATACTGTATATTGCTATTTTTTTTATCATTTATCTCCACCATGACCAACTAAAAATATTGTTAATGTTAATGGAGCTAATTGCAAGTACTTTAAATACTATTGAGTAGTTTATTCTATAATAAATCATTACATTTATCATTATATGTATTATATCAATTTTGTATAAGATATTCATAGTAATTAGTGACTAATGTTGTAAATCAAAGTACAATATTTCTCTCTGAAATGTACGGGAGTAGAAGAACACTTTTACTCACTGTACTTAAGTTTACTTTACTTAAGTACTTCCATTTATTGTTACTTTATATATTTCTAATTGATTTCAGATTATGATATAGAAAATATAAGTAAACTGATACATTGTGATGTATTATTAGGCTGTACGTTAAGCAATGGGCCATATAAACTAATGATCAATTAGCTCCAACTGTACCAGCCCAACATTAAAGTGATGAATATATTAATCCATCACTAATTATAATCCATTAATATAGCATATGATGCCGAAAAGGGCCATTCTGCATAAGGACTGCTTTTACTTTTGGTACTTTAACTATATTTTGATGCCATTACGTTTGTGCTTTTTCTTTATTTAACTTTTACTTAGTATTTTCACACTCAAAGCTACAACTGGTCATAAAACAGTCTCAGTTTAACACTGATGCCTCTTTGACCTACATAAGCACAGGAGACCATCAGCCAGAAGATTGGCTATTTCTATAGTTATTCTTTATGCCTGCCACTGGGTCGGATTCAGTCTGATAACCACTGAAATCAATTAAACAAGGTTGTGGAAACCATAGTGCGTTTGTCCA